GTCTAACACACTCTCAGGTAATAATCTCATCTCTGAGAAATTGGAAGGTACTGGGCATGAACACTGAAATTCCTTTCACTGGTCTTTAGAATAAATCTATATTTTATTTTTCCTACTCTTATCTTATCGTTTCAAGAGGAAGAAGTATCCCAACTCCTCTCCAAGGATTACTCTATATCATAAAATTCCAACTTTTCAAGATCTCCTGGGCAACTTCTGGCTCCATCTTTTGGCTTGATCTGTAACAAATTCAATATCTCCTATTGTAAAAAAGGTAGAAGTCTTACCCCTCTCGAGCCACTGTTTTGTCATGTCATTTGCATTCACTGATACTCTTTACACATAAATAAAAAGGGAGATTTGCAAAATTTACTTTCCTATTATTCAGTTTCATCTTAATTCTCTCTAACCTAGCTTCCATCCATATTATGATTGAAACTCTGGAATGTTACTGGTAACTTCCTATCACCTGAAGTGGAAATCTGTAATTTGCGTTATACAATGTCTACGCCTGCATTGTTGCCTTGATTTTCTTTGAGATTATCCTTTACCCCACTCTCAGTTCATGTGCTTCAGTTGGGTTGACGCTATCCTTAGCATCAAGAATAGGCATGTAATCCAAACACAAGCAACTCTACAAAGGCCATGATGATAGGGTTTGGGATTGTCATGGGCCCTCATTAAAGCCAATCAGAACTAAAACTGGAAGTGAGGCTGGAGGTAACTTATAACAGAAAGCTCTTTCTTTTTATATGGACTTGAACTTGAAAGGATTAGGCCGAGATTATAGAACTACCCTTGAACTTTACAGTAATGTGAATCAATCAATTCTTTTGGCTTAATTCAGTTAGGGTCTTGTGGTGGTTGTCATTTGCAACAAGAAGAACAATAATTTATATATTATCAAAAAATTCAGTGGCTAGTATTTCACAGAATTAATTATTCCTTTTTCCAAACATGTGCTATTCTTCTGTCTTCTGATCCTTTCTTTATTCCCTCTAGTTCTTCTTTATATATAGTATTATATTGTAGAATTTCAGAATTAGAATTGATAAGAGGTAAAGAAATTATTATGTATTGAGATCACTGGGGACAGCACATTTTATAATAATACCTGCAGAAAGTGTAGTTGTACTTTTTGGAATTTAGTTTGGAACACTAACCACACTATTGATTAAAATACTGTGAAAGAGGTATCATATGAAGAGAAAATAGTTGTAAATTTGGACAGCATGCTATCGTTTCTATTTTGAATATAAAGAATTGAATATTAATGAGGCATAGAATGAAGGTTTTCATAGCGGTGCCTCTGATTCTAGTTTGAAAAAGAATGGGAGAACTGTTTATTGCATTTTTATATCAACACACTTTCTGGAAAGCAATTAAATTGCCTTGCCACCTCAGTTTTGAGAAAGCAAAAGGTTAGAAAACACAATAAAACTGACCATTATTTCCAAAAAGAACTGAAAGTCATTGGACTGTGAGATATTTGAAACCATATCAAAAAGCAGAATTTATGGCCTTATGAGTTATAGAAAAGGAAATTGAATTGTGTGTTTTATTTTTAAAACACAACCACTAAAAAGGTGTTTCCATAGTAACAAGGTCAATACCAGTAGCCATTACAGACCTTCCTCCTTTCTGATAGTGGATTTAAAGATATTTTTCAAATACCACTTTAAAAGCCCTAAGAAAAAAATATAGCTTTTCTGATCATTCATCTGAACCAAAAATGAGGAAAAACACACATGGAGTATTGAATTTCTCATGTTTTATGGATTATGAGCATTCATGGCTGCCATATTTTCAGAAAGAAGCCTGCCTGACTAGCTACTCTGCCAACCCCTGAACATGGAGTTTGATTAGCTTGATTGTAAATCTGGACAAACAGAAGTTGTTTGCAGTAGTATGCAAACAGAAATAAAAGGCGGCACAGTATTAAAAACACAACTTCTTTAGCATCTAAATATTGTAAGAGTTAAGTAAATAATCCCTGTTATTAGAAAAATATCAAAGTCTCAGATAAAATATCACCACTAGAGGAAGGTTAGAAAGATACAGGCCTCATTTTATTTACAACAGAACTAAATAGCATTTTGGTCATAAAATCAATTCATTTAGGCTCACCAGGAAGTGGCCTCTCCTTTCTCTTTCCTTTGCATGGAGATACATTGCCTATATGATGATCATTTGTATCACCTTATCTTCCTCACTAAATAGTGAGTCCCTTGAGAGCAGGGATATTTTATTTATATATTATTTGTATTTACAATAGTATCTCATATAACATTTTGTACATAAAAATATTAAAAAAAATAAGTGGAGAATTAATCATGAAAAATGACAAAAAAGTAACTAAAATAACACAAAATCTCTAGTCTATTTTTAGAAATGATATGTCAGTTACAAGAGTACTCATGATTTTAATCTCTTTAAACTAAGAGGCTCTAGATCCTGTTCACAGACTCACAAAACTGTCAAATAATAAATATAATTGCCTGATCCCTGGACAGATGCCCTCAGAATCTCTGTAGGTGGGGATCTGGCATCAATATTTTTAAAAGCTATTTGGGTAATTCTAATGTGAAGCCAAAGTTGAAAAATCATGCTTTAAACTGTTCTCCTGGAGCTCAATGAATAATTAACTTACTTCCAACTTTTAATTACTTGTTTTTTTTCCTCAATATTGCCCTATAGTACTATGCCAAATCTATAAGATTTTTTATTATAACCTAATGATTTATTCTCTAGAATCACTTTTCATAATAAAAGCTTAAATTAAAATAGTTCCATCTTGAACAATTAACAATTTCAGCCAAAAATCAGTATTTTTTGTATTCTGTTCCATATGCTTCTAGGCTTTTTGTTGCTATGAATTCAGTTTTTGAAAATCAGAACTGAATATAGTATCAACATAAAAGATGCTAAATAAATGTCAGTGCAATTTAATATATGCTTTTGCACTGTTATGCTTACCTTTCCTGGGCCTGTAATGCCTTTTACACCCTTATCTATCTAAAACTAATTCAGATTCATCTTTCAAAACACACAGATCATATTTCTCTTCCTCCAGGAAGCCCTCCCCAATTCAGACACACTATTAAGCACACTTTTCTTCGGCACTGCTACTGCCCCTTATATATGCTTGTATTTTACTCTTCTCATATTGTACTTTTTCTTTTTCTTTTTTTCTTTCCCCATACCTGATTGTGAACAACTTGCAGCAGGTGCTGACTTATGCCTCTTTGCTCCTTTGCTCTCAGAGCACAGCAAAAGAGCTACAAACAATAGGCATTCAATAAGTGTTTACTAAATGAAAGAATAAATGGCCACAGGTAAGTGAACCAGGTGAATTTCAAAAAACACTATTGTAATAGACTGAATTGTGTTCCCCTCCCTCCAAATTCATATGTTGAAGTCCTAACCCCCAATGAGGTGGAATCTGGAGATGGGGACCCTGGCAGATAATCAGATTTAGATGAGATCATGAGGGTGGGGCACTCTTGATGAGATTAGTGCCTTTAAAAGAAAAGATACCAGAGAGCTTACTATCTCTCTCACTTTTTGTCATATGAAGAAGACATAGCAAGAAGGCCAGGGAGAGATATCTCACTAGCATCAGACAATGCTAGCAGCCTCCAGAAGTATGAGAAAATAAATTTCTGTTGGTTAAGCCACCCAGTCTATAGTATTTTGTTCCAGCAACCCAAGCTGACTAATACAACTATGAACTTGGAATAAGTGGTTTGAAGAGAATATGAATATAAACATCAGAGAAAATTATGCCTTTCCTTTTAATTTAAATCCTTTAAAAAAAAATGGGTGTTTGTTTTTTTCTAACAAAAGGCCATATCATATACAATTAGGCTAGATATTTATACTTCTTTCCAAATAAATTTGAGGCATAATTTTGGTATTTTCTTGGTAAAGTCAGATACCTCACATAAGCACAGTTTAAATGAAGTGATTTTGCAGAACAACAATTAATCAATAGGATAAAGTAAGCTACCTTGGGGACCACATTATCAATTACAGGTATTCATCAGACGTCCTTTTTTTTTTTTTTTTTTCTCACAGATAACATTCATTGAAGATCTAGCATGCCCCTTGCACTATTCTAGATATTATGTCTTAAACTAATTATATCTTTTAGGGGATAGGGAAAATAATTAAGATCTCATGGGAACTCCACAATGTATTAGTTATTTATTTATTCAACAAATATTTATTTATTGTGCATTATTGGAATCTAATTTTGTATTTAAAACAAATTTAGTTTCATTCCCGCATTCTCTTGGGACTATGGCTATAAACTACCCAGTCCTTATCTGGTGAATCTATTCTGTAATCAAATCATAAAAACTGTGTAGTTTAGATCAGCAGTATCCACACTTTGAATTTCATGGATGAATAAATAAAAATTGGGGAACCAATACCAACTTAGAAACATTTTGTCTGGCCAAACAATAACTTTAAAAACAAATAAACACCACTATCAGCTTTCACTATGAGTTCACAAATGATAAAGCATTTTAACACGAAATAATTAAAGATTATAATCTCAGTAGAAAATAAAAGGTAGCTTCCAACATGACTGTTTAAAATCCAAAATATTCTGTATTCTTCTCTTGCAGCCTAGATTGATGAAACTTTGTTAAGAACAAATCCACCTCTGAGGTAGATACAGAAATGTCTGACATCTACCACTTTTGCTTCTCAGTGTTCTATTTCAATCCTATTTCTCACTATTCAAAATCTCTCCTTTATTCTAATTCTTAGGGCTGGCCATTAAAATAATAAGTAAACTCAGTTTAATCTCATTAGCCATGCAGGGTCCAAGGGAAAGATGCATGTGTACTTTGTTTTCTCATTTTGTCAAATACTAAAAATAAATGATGCTTCTGATACCACAATTACCTTACATTTCAGCATTCATGTCAAATAAATATCTATGTGAAGGTTATAAATCGAAGACCAACCAATATAGCAACAAAACTTACATGTGTGGACCCAGTGAAATTACCCTTGCCATTACAATTCCAAGAATCAGAGTTGTTAAAACTGTAGAAATAAGAGAGATCTGAAAAAGAAAATGTAAAGATATTATCAGTTTAGTAGAGATTATTTTACTGAAAATGTTAGGCGTTTCTCTCTTTACTTGAGTAAATGTATGTAATTTTAAATACAATTATTTATTAGTTTATTCTTATAGATTGGGGTAATAATCCCAGGTATGTAACTTTTTATCACTTCATAGTCTTAGTTTTCCCCTCCTAAATAGGAGAGCAAATATCATATATGACTATTGTAATCTTGCAATATGGATTTAAATGTTTTTAGTGGCTTTCTAGTGATTTTCCTTTGTAAAATTGTTTTTTTTCTTCAGGCTCTATTTTAGTGTTAACCTGTGTTTTTTTTCCCTATCTATAACTGCTGCTCTGCTTCTGTCTTTATCATACCCTCACCCTTCCAACACCCCCCCCCATTCCTCCTCTCCCACAGACACACATTTTGGGGTACATCTGCTTTTCTTATTTCTGTTCTCTACCTCTGTAACTCTATTTATTCTCTGTGATTTTGCCGTTTGGTCTGTGTTTCTAAGTCTTCTTTGCTTCTTCCTCTCTCGCTTGTCTCTATTTCAAAAGGTTCAAATATAAACTGGTCTATGTGTATATGTGTTCTGTGCATTCATCGCATTAGATCTATGTTTCTTCTCTTAATTTTTTTAATGGATAAACACACTTTAGGCTTTTTTTCTCTGATAAGAAGAATATAAAATTGCTTTTATTTAATTTTATTGTCATTAACCTTGTTTACTGTGGTGTTAGTTTTTATTCAGAAAGAAGATTCTACGAGTCCTCTGATGTACTGAGGAACACAAATATTAAGTAACATTCCCAAGGTCACACAGCAAGAAAGTAGCAGAAGGCAAACTCAAATGCAAGTACCCTAACTTCACATCAGAGCTCCTAACCACCCTGCTTTGCTTATTGAGAAATTTATTTAGACTTTCAATATGATACTTTTAAAGAACATTTAGGAAAAATTTTTCAGATAATATGATAGAATTTTAGTAGCTTTCTTTTCATGAATTCTTTGCCTTCTGTTCTCAGAAAGTAACATTTATATCTACCTTGAACATGTGAATGGAAAACAGTTCAGCCATTTCAGATAATCTAACAAAAAAAGCCCCTTTTGATACACTCTTGTTCATTTCTGGATGACTGTTAGTAAAGGAAGGCAGAATTTTCAGAGTACTCTGGAATATTATCTCCATTCTCAACTCTACCTGGAAGGAGAGACTTCTAAACTGTAGATACACACCAAGCATCACAGTAAAAAGTTAAAATTCAATCAACTGTTTAAAATTAAAAAAAAAAAAAATTCATCGAATGCTTGGCATTATGTAGATATAGCAACAATAATATTCTGGGTAAAATATAAACATATTTTGAGAGTAAGGATATAAAATATAGCCAGACAAAGTTTATTCTATGTCGATGAGCATATGTGGTGAGTTGAATAATTGTTTGATTTAATTAGAAAGAAATCAGCATATGTCTTTAGCAATGCATATCATAAATATTAGCTAAATTCTCAAAAATTAATCAATCAACATGCTGACATTTCATTCTGATGGATAAAAAAATAGGCACAACAGACATTGTAATTTACAAAGAAAATTGTAAGTCAATAAAGTGATTCATCCTTAATTCTAAATGTAGTTCAATTTTAAATTGTTTAACCTACTATCCATAAAAATGATAGAACATTTTCTAAAAAATTAGATTTGGTTTAAGTATAGCCCTTCGTATTTTCTAAAATTAAAATGGCTGCCTAATGTCAGAGTATCTACCTTAGAAAAGAAAAAGGACATATTTATTTCACAGTTATCAAGTATTTAACCATCTATTCCCAAAAATAAGCTAAAGATTTAACTGTAGTTTATTCTAGCAAAATTATAAGTAAACTAAAAGAATATAAAGATAAATATTGTAATTAAGAACTTGGCCATATAGACAGTAGTTGGACAAACGTAAAAGATAAAAATTACCTTTCCAAGCTTTGCTATGTCCTTCGCTAAGGACAAAGGCAGAGTAAAGGCCACCGTGGAAAGCACAATAATGAAGCGGCGACCAATAAACAAGTTGTCGGGGTCAACTAAAACATAATAAATATTATAAAGTGTTTATAGGTATGAGTAACACACCAGTGACAAAAGTAAATAGCCAAACATTGAATTATCAAAATGATTTAAATAACAATAAATACTATATTTCAAAGATTTTAAGAATAAGCTCCATAAACCATGTAAAACTAGAAATAATTCTCAAAAATATAAATACAAAATAACTTAAAGATGAACCTATAGTTCAAATAATGTTAAAATATCTTATATTTAAATTATTTTAATAGTCTCCTAATTAGTTTTCTTGTTTCTACCTTTCTTTGTCCCCATAGAGTATAGTACACTCAACCTAGAACACAGAGATCTTTTCCAAAGGCAAAAATAAAACCATTGTCATTCCTTGTCCAAAACCCTCTAATGGCAAAACTGTTCATTCAGAAAGTAAGCTACATGAAGATAGGGCATTTTCTAAGGCTTTTTTTTTTTTTTTTAATTTCTGTATTTCAAAGAGACTTGAACAATAGAACTTTAAGAAAATTTTAAAAATAAAGATTTAGATAAATATATTCACTATATTTCTACCCTTTTGTTGAGAAAGAAGTATTTTCCCTGAAGGAAAATAGAGAAAAGCAACTTGTTGGATAGAAAACAAGTCATAGGGAAGGTGCAGAAATCTGGTACACAACATAGACTCTGGGCTATCACAATGAGTAATAGTGTGTGTGTGCGGGGGAGTGTGCGTGTGTGATCAAATGCAGCGTAATTTGTAAACACAAAATAAAACATACTTACAAGGATTTATATATTTTTTAAAGCTGTGCTAATTACAGTATTCGCTTCAGGAGCCATATATCTATGCCAATGAAGACACCATTCTTTAAATTTTTTAGCCCATGTTAAATTCCTTCAGAGATCATGTTATATTTCTGAAATGTCCTTGGTACCACCAAGGACATTTGTTTTTTGTACATTTATTTTTTATTTGATTTTTTTTTAATTTACTTAAATTAGTGTCAAGTATATAATACATTGGTTAGACACTTATATAGTTCATAAAATGATCTCCCCAATATGCATTTATTTTTGCAAAGTTTAAGTCTGTAGCAGCCAAGTGTGTCAAATAAGTGAATGTGGTTTAAAAAATAAAAAAAAGAAGCTATTACTCTGAAAAATGAGCCTAAGCTTGTATATAACTAATAAACTAACTTATAAAGAAGTTCCAAGATAAGAAGTTCAAAATGGGATGCATTTTACACACACACACAAACACATGCGCAAGAGTGAAATAATTAATCATGAATATTTATTTAACTCAGTCATACTAAACAAGCATTATGAAATTCCCAAAACCTTGAATGCAATTATTTACATATTCCTGAACATAACTTGAATTAAGTTACCTGTATATCTGTTCTTATTTACCCTACGATATGTTTGGTAGAAAATACATTTTCTTCACTGGGAAAACTCTAAGACCTAGAAAAACACTAAATGAGACTGCTATGGTGCCTAATAACTAAGGGTCTCCATTAGTGTAAAAGGACATTTTTCACTAATGATCTAATGATGAGATCTCTTACCCATACTGATCTTCTAACAAAAATGCACCCAAATAAGCATTTTAAATGTTTAAGCAGTTATAAGAAAAACTGAACATTAAAATTTTTCAAAAATTTCAAAATCATCTAAATATACTACTTCTTACACCAACATTTCTCATTACTTTGACCCGTGAACCAAGACCTTAGTTATCTGGAAAAAGAATAAGTGGTTGTTCAAATGTCAGTTTAAGACATTGGTGATATATTTCAGGAGAAAAAAAAAAGCAGTTTTTCTAAGAATTTTATCTATTTCTAAAAATACTTGGGCATCACATTAATCTTTATAAGAAATACAATAATTATATGTTACAAAATATCACATTCAACAATGTAAAGAAACTGTGATAAGAATAAAGTGTGTTCTCTGCTATGTGACTTATTTTTTAAAAATCATTTTTGATGATTATGAAATTCATAACCAGGAAAGGGGTTTTAAAGAGAACTTAAGCCTTATCTATGTTTTGCTTTTATGCATACATATTCATATATTATTTGTAAAATTAAAAATTCATAAAAATTTATTATCAAAATAATTGTATCAGGGAAAATTAAAGTAATTACAGTCTATCTAACTGTATAGTAGATATTGCACAGGAGAATACTGAACTTCCAGTTAAGCAAATAGAATAGATCTCTATGTTTAGATATGAGTATATCCTTAACATACTAAGAGAAAGAAGCATGTTATAGAACAAGGCGTACAGTGTTATTTATATGACTATCTGAAGTTACACCCATTCTTAAAACTCTGAAAGGATACATTAAAAAAGAAGGAAGGAAGGAAGGAAGAAAGGAAGGAAAGAAATATTGGAAAGATAGTCCCTACTTGATTTTCCTAAAAGGAAGAGATAATGAGTATGTTCTCTCTTTTCCATTTTGCTTATCTGTGTTTTCTAGTATTTTCCTAATAAATATATATTATTCTTAAATAAATATATTACTCTTAAAATTTTTTAAAAATTAATACATGTTCTTTTGAAAAACTTTGGAAAATAACAAAGGAAACAAAAAGATCCTATGTATCCCACAATTAAAAGATAACCAATTTCTTTGCGAATGTCTTTTTTCTTATTTTTCCTAATTTATTTATGCAAATAGAAAATTCATATAATTTAGATTATATTGTATATACCATATTATATTTTTCCCGTTTTTATTTAGCTTTCTATCTACTCTTATGATCTCTGTATATAAAGTCATGATATAGAAGTTGGAGACTAGGACAGAAACTGCAAATAGTTCAGGGTAACAATAATAATAGCTAAACAATGTTGGGAAAGCCTTCTGTATGCTGGGCACTGTCTGTATTATCTCTTTTGTTTTACATAAAAATTCATTGAAGTAGTTGATACTCTAATTCACAATTTAGAGATGAAGAGACTAGAACTCAGAGAGGGCATTAACCTTCTCAAGGTCAAATAGCAAGCTAGTAGTGGCTTTATGATTCGATGGTCAAGTAGCCCTGATTTCAGTTACTCTAAACCCTGAGAGAGGAATAGGTACAATTTGAAGTTTTAGGTTTTTTGTTTTTACTTTGTTTTGTATGTTTTTTAGAATGAGTGGTTCAAGCACTAAGAGGAAAGGAGTTTTGACTCAATCTCAACTACAATAACTACTATTGAGTTAGGTCACAATGAAATGGAGATTATGTGGGTTGGATGAGAAGCTCTTTGAAGCACAAAGACAAATGATCTTTGAATCACTCAAATAGCCATGATATGGTGAAAAGATAAACAGGGAGGGGTGCTGTGGCACATGTTAAGAAGGTCTGCTTGAGAATGTTCATAGCAACTTTTTCATAATCACCCCAAACTGGAAATAACCCAAGTGTCCCTTAACTGTGTGATAGATAAACTATTGTCCGTCTATACAATGGAATACTCCTCAGCAATCCTTTTTAAGAGCAAACTGCTGATATACCTTAAGACATAGATCAAATTCAAAAGCATTATGCTAAGTGAAAGAAGTTGAACTCGAAAGGCTACATACTATATGATGTCACTGATTTGGTATTTTGGGAAAAGCAAAACTAGTAAGAGAAATCAGATCAGTGGTTGCCAGGGGCTGGTGATGAGGGAGGATATAACAACAAAGAGTAGGGAAAATTTGGGTGTGATGGAATTGTTCTGTATTTTGACTGTGGATGTAGTTATATGACTATAACTCACAAGACAATACAATAAAAAGGGTTAATTTTATTATATTAAGTTATATATTAATACAAATAGTGAGGAAAAGGTCAGCTTGCTTATTTAAGAAATAATGTAGGAAAAATACATGAGAAAATAAGTATTATTAACAGAAAGTAAGTGATATATAGCATAAGATGTTTTAAATAAAAGGAATTTAAGTATAATAATAACATTTATTATTATAGTATTTATTATTTACTACTAACAGTAATACACATTACTATTAATATTTACTATTATGTTAAATATAGTATAATAGTAATAATATTTTTAAATAGCTAAACAAGAACTGAACTATATATAAAAGTAGATTAACACTTTAGGATAAGAATGCATCATGAATATTGCCAGATATTTTGAAGTCATGCAACTCTTCAACTTGCAAATATTTTACTTATAAATTATTACGAACCATGTTAACTATGAAAAACTATATAAAATAAATATATTTACTTACCTCCTGGGATTCGTTGGAAAACTTTGCTCAAAGTGTCTCCAGTTATTATGTTGTAACTTATCATAGCTAAATACATAATTAAAATAATACTGTCACCAACCATTTTCATCTTGAATATTTTAAAAATAATCAGTTATTACTTCCCAAATGTTGCTATAATCCAACTATTTTCAAACATACATTGTGATTACTAATATGTACAACTTTAATAATTAGACAACAGATTTATGGGAGAATGCCAATTTGTATTAAAAAAGACTTCACAAATTGATTTTTTCTAGAGTATCTTAAATAACAGTGAGTTTTGGTTGTCATTTAAAATGTGATTTACTTGTTATTAAAGAAGTTCAGTTTCCAAATACATTTTCAGTAATGCATATATTGCTCAAAGTGATGAATAATAATGGAAAATTATGTAGGTTCCAAAATACCCCCTAGTTTAAAAAGTAAGATTTTTGGGAAATATATTCATAGCCTTTGGTGGAGACATAAGGAACTAGTGGTTTGAGCAATAGCTTCTATATTACGGATTTAAAAACTGAAGTCATTATACTACAAAGTGACAATAATCAAAACAGCAAGGTACTGGCAGAAAAACAGATACACAGACCAATGGAACAGAATTGAGAGCCCAGAAACAAACTCCCATATATATGGGCAAATAATTTTCAATGAAGGCATCGAAAACATACATTGGAGAAAGAAAAGCCTCTTCAATAAATGGTACTGAAAAAACTGGAAAGCCACATACAAAAGAATGAAACTAGACTGCTATCTGTCACCATACACCAAAATTAATCAAAATGGATCAAAAGCCTAAATATAAGACCTGAAACAATAAATTGCATAGAAGAAAACACAGGTACTAAACTCATGAACCTTGGTCTTAGAGAGGATTTTATGTATTTGACCTCAAGGGCAAGGGAAGTAAAATAGAAAATAAATGAATGGGTCTACATCAAACTCAAAAGCTTCTGTACAGCAAAAGAAACCATCAATAAAACAAAGAGGCAATCAACTGAATGGGAGAAGATGTTTTCAAACAATGCCTCTGAGAAGGGATTATTAACCAAAATACAGAAAGAACTCATACAACTCAACAACAACAAAAAATCCATTTAAAAAATGAGCAGAGGATCTGAATAGACACTTTTTCCAAAAGGACATACAAAAGGCCATATAAAGATGCTCAACTTCACTAGGTATTACCGAAATACAAATCAAAACCACAATGAGCTACCACCTCACACCTGTAAGAATGGCTATCATCAACAAGACAAGTAATAACAAGTGTTGGAGAGGTTGTGGTGGGGAGGGGAAGGAACACTCATACATTGCTGGTGAAAATGTAAATTGGTATAGCCACTATGGAAAACAGTATGGAGATTCCTTGAAAAATTAAGAATTGAATTACCATATGACCAACAATCCTTCTTCTGAGTATCTATCCCCAAAATTTGAAAACATTTATCTGTAAAGATATATGTACCCCAATGTTCACTGCAGCATTGCTCCATGGCCAAGACACGCAAAAGAACTGAAATGTCCTTCAGTAGATGCATGGATAAAAAAGATGTGGTATATATATACAATGGAATATTACTCAGCCATAAGAAAAAATGAAATACTGCCGTTGGCCACAAAATGAATGGCTCTTGAGATAATCAGGCTAAGCGAAAAAAGTCAGACAGGAAAAGTTGAGAACCATATGATTTCACTCATATGTGGGATATAAAGCTGAAAGCAACAAACAAGACAAACAAAAACTCATAGACACAGACAACAGTTTAGTGGTTACTAAAGGGGAAGTGGGGAGGGGAAAAGTAGATAAGTGTAAAGGGGGTCAAATATATGGTGATGGAAAAAGATTTGACTTTGGGTGGTGAACACTCAATGCAATATACAGATGATGTATTATTGAATTGTACAATTGAAACCTATATAATTTTACTAACCAATGTCACCTCAATAAATTTAATAAAATAATTTAAAAAATAAAAACAGAAGTCAATTTAGCCATTGGCACCTTTATTTAAAAAGTGTTAGGTGACACTTTCACCATTATGGTATAAATTTTAACTAGCATATTGGACTTATATATGGCTTTCACAAATCCTTAGGCTTTCAAAAAATGTATTTCAGCCTTAGAAGAAATCTATTGTTTCTCTCATTCATTTTTAATCCCAGGTCATTCTATTTTTCACCAAACTAGGGAAGCATTAACCTAGTGAAAATCACTTACTTTATTTCAATGAAATAATCAGAAAACCAATCCGAAGGACCAGGAAATAAGGGGAAAATGACTAAAGAAATAAACACTCAATTTGGAAGATATTTAAATTGCTAGTACTCTTTAGTGACTATTTAATGACTATTAAAACTATTTTATTCAGAAATGGCAATATGTTTATGCAAAAAAAGTATATTCATCCTCACATTCATCTTACCTATAAAAGGATACAAAAACTGTAGGACAGAGAGGAGGAGATACCCTGGAAAGCCGAAGGTTTTATTGACCAAAGACTGGTAAGTGTCTGTTCCAGAGAGGGCCCCTCCTTTTATCAATAGAACAAGGGAAAAATCTGTGGCAAGAATAACAAATATCAGATTACATTTAATACAAAGGTTTTTCATGTTTTGACTTCAGAAAAAGGGAAATCAAAAAAAAAAGAATTAAATTTAATGCTACAGTAAATTAGCATGACAAGGCTTACTTGCTTTTCATAAAATATTACCTTTAATGAAATGGTATTGTTTCCAGTTATATAGTTTTCAATCAAGATGCAAATATACTTAACATATCTGTGCAGTAAACTGGGCAGAAGAGAGTAAGCAGACTAGAGTCAAGCGTCAGTTTTCTATTTTACTTCCTTGCCTAACCAATGTAACATCTATTAATAGGATGTGGCTCAACTGTCCAAACAACAGAATGCAGATAATCAAATATTTCATAGGCATTTAGCATGTGAAAACTGAGAATGAAAATGCTGTAAGTATTCAGAAAAAAAAAAATAGATTTAGGAGACTCAGATCATTTGTTTTATAAAAAAGTAACAACGAGTAACTATTTTATAGTTATTATGGTTAAGAGAGCACTCCAACAATTTTTTTTTGAAATTTACATTTTAGAGATTTAAATTTTAACTTTAGAGTTGAAATTGAAGATACAAATATATAGATATTATATAATTAAAAGTTAATCTCTCTCTTTTTTCTCCTTTTAACTCAATAAACCTAGTAAATGACACTTCAGTTGTATTGGGTACACAGCTCTGCACATGGTATGATTTTTGCTCTTTTTTCTTGCTCATGTTTCTACCATAAGTGATTTCTTTTTGTCCTTTAAGTAATTTTGAAATGCATTAAAATACAAAGACAAAAATACAAATAACTGTAATATGATTTCCACCTTAATTCCCTTCTACATCATTGGAACGTCTTTCAACCAGTTCATTAATGAGTTCCAAATTAATAAATCCGATTGACAACCTTTAAACCTTAATTGTATTTGCTCTTTCAGTACTATCTTTTTTTCCCTGTTTACTATTTCCCTCTTTCCAACCATCTTCCCTTGGCCTTTGTGACATCACTTTCTCTTGGATTTCCTTTTACCTTTTTAGCCATTTATACTCAGTTTTTCACCAGTTTATTTTACTCTGGATTCTTGGGCTTTTCGCTCACTATTCTAGATGCCCTACTGTGATCTTATTCATGCCTATGTTTTCAATTTTCCTACAGATGTTAGTAACCTCCTTCCATTTACTTTTATCTCCAGCTAAAACACAGTAACCCCAGATTTATACAACTAGCCACCTAATAAATATTTTACATTGGAGATCTCATAGATATCTCGATTTAAAAATATCCAAATTCTAATTTATATAATTGTTCTGTAACTTGCTTCTCCATCCATATTTCCCCAACCTGTGAATAGCATTAACAGAAACTTGAGACTCTCCATAGACTTCTTATTATCCATCATCTTCTATATTCCTTTGGTTGCCTAGTCCATTAACTACTGCATTATAAATTATTTGACTGTATCCTCTCATTCTCATCTCTAACCTGCTTTATTTTAGGGCTTAGGTCATTATAATTTACTGCTTGGATCACTGTAGTAACTTCCTAATAGTTTTCTCATCCACCAATATCACTCCCCACCAAAACATTTTTGACACATGCTAAGACTTTCTCAACATTTCCCCAGGTGGATCCGAATAGCATAAATCTGATCATGCCTTCTGCTTAAAATATTCCAGGAGACTCTCTAATGAATGCCTATGAATAAAAATCAACTCCTTTTCATGAGGCAAAAAAATCATTTATTAGCTGTGTGACCTTGGGTGAAAGACTTGGCTTTTGTGAGTCTCACCTATAAAATGAGGCAACACATCAACCTTGATGAGTCTGTGAGGATTATGGCATTTAAATGTCTACCGCAATGCCTAGCGTGATATAGAGGCTAAATGAATGAGAACTTGTGCTATTTTAAATTGTTTTCTAAAGGTAGCATGTAGTGGTGAAAAAAGCACTGTATTTGGAGTCCAATAATGATGATAATAACGATTACAATCATAGCGACACTAGCAAATACTTCCGCAACACTTTCTTTGTGCCAGGACTTTTTCTAAATGCTTTATGTATATTAACTTGTTTAATCTTCACAACAACCTCAGGTAGGTGCTATTATGAACCCTCATTAAACAGACATGAAAAATGAGGGGCAGAAAGTTAAGTAAATTGTCGAACTTCACAGAGCTAGTAATGGAGGTGTCAGGACTCAGACCTCAGTGGTGTGGCCCTAGAATCCACACACTTAATCAAAATCTCAACTCTGTCACAAGTAACTGTAGACCTTAGGAAAGTCATTTTAACCCATCATAAGTCACAATTTCCTCCTCCATAAAAGTAGAACGTGAACACTGACTTATTTCATGGAGTCAGAAAGATTAAGTATAGTGGCAACTTTATGTTCAGCATCCAGCCAGTCCTCAGGAAATGGTAATGATTATCCTTACATGAGAAGCTTCATAAATGCCCTTGCAATCCTCTCTATCATCATCCCCCACTACTTAACAAACATCAACCCTATACTTTAGCCAGACTGAATCACTTACACAGTTCCCTTTTGTATTTCCGCCTTTCCATCTTTTTAGAGCACCCTTCCATTTTCTTTGCTCACTCACATTTTTTCATAAACACTCAGTGGAAATATCTCCTCCTCCCTAAAACATACCTGCTCCTTTGAGGCTGGGTTAGATGCCAATGTCTCTATTATCATGCATATATTTTTATTATGGTATTTTTCATGAAGTGTTAAAATTATGTGTTTTTGTCTGCCTGGCACACTAAACTGTGAGCTTTATACAGGCAGGGATAATGTTCTTCATTGCAGCAATAAATATTTGTTGAATGAATGAATGCTTAATATAGTAGAATTACTAGATATCTACATATATGAGGCAAATTAATGTGATAAATGACCTAATAAATATATTTTAAAATATTCTGAAAGCACAAAAAGCATAGGAATTAATTCTACTTCCTTTGTTTAGAAGTAGGAAAAGCTTCACAGGAATTAAGTAGTGCCTTGAAAGATGAACAGGATTTTACCAGGTAGAGAAGAAAGAGAATGTCAAGCATGGGAAGGCAGCATGAAAGTATATTCTATATGTGGGGAATAAAATGGTCCAGAATAGCTAAAACATAAGGTCCCCACATGGCAGTGCTGGTGACAGGGCAAAGAAGGGTTAGAGTAGTTGAAGATGAGACTAAAAATGAAGACCATGACCATACCATGAAGGAATTTGAATGCAATAATTGTTTTTTCTGTTATCGTAATAGAGTCTTGGAATATATTCTTTGGGGGAGTGACAGACATCAGGCCAAGGTTTATAAAAAGATAATTCTTGCAGCAATGTGGAGAACTGGTCAGAAAATAGACAAATGCTAAAGGCAGTAAAACAGCAACTCATTGGCCAAGGAAGAGAATCAATGAAGACTTGAGTGACAGAGGAAGCAGCCAAGTTCACAAATATTCTAAATTTTTGATGAAGAACTGTATGTTTGGAACGAGAATGCTACTTCATAAAAGTCCAAAGTATAAGGCTTGATATCAACAATTTGCTAAGCATTCAGCAAATAATAAATGTAAATGATTTCATCTGCTCTTAAAATACAGGCTATAAATGTATTCCTTTAAAAATTTTAGGAATCTCAAATATCAATCACTGTAATATTTTGATCTCACTTTAATATATTATGTACAAATTTTAGATAATCTATAAATGAGTCTATGATATTCAACAGGTAAATTTTCTTTTAAATCATTATGCTTGGACAATACAAATTATTGTATACAAATTACTCTAATCAACAAATGAGAAAATCTTAAAGCAATTTAAAATAAAACTATTTGTTATAAATATTTATAATTCTTTTTTGTTCCTTACCATTTCATGAACATGAAAACAGAACTTAGAAAAACTACCTGTTGAACTGGACATATGTCATTAGAGGCCTTAAAAAGACAAAAGAATAATTCTTCAGAAAAATCACTGTGTAATTACATTATCAATTTAAAGAAAAACTCAATAATACATGGTACTTGTAAATTTCACTCTTAAAAGCCTAATTTAAAACAAAATAAATCATAGTCCACACATTTTTTGCTTTCGTGTGGTTATCCTTTATTTATCAAAATTATTTAACGATTTTGATCATGCAACTAGATTAAGAGTAACTAATTTCCACTGATTGGTAACTTTGCAATATATGGCTTAGCAAAGGACTGACCACAGTGATTGCTTTATGTTTATATATAGTATCAATTGAGAAAATTATTCACAGTATAATTTATTTATGTATAATATGATTTGGCTTTAGTAAACTGTTCATTTTCCTCAAATATTGAATTCTTAGGTGATATATATATCAATGTTTTTTAATCTACTAATTGATAATGTGAATAAATGTTTACAATACACTTAAATAAGCCATGGTTGCTATGCCTGGGTTGAAATTAATTATTTGCCAGTGCTGATTGACTGGGTTGACTGGGTTAACAGGAAATTAGAAAAGACAAAGGTAAATCCTCGAATGGTATTTTTTAGTGTGAAATGCACTCATGAACAGAATGCAATTTTTAAACACCAGCAACTCTGAATAAGCATAAAGTTATGGATCTCACATTACTAAGTTATGGATCCTAAGCTACAAATTAAGAGCTGTGGAAGCTAAGAGCAGCTTAGGTTTGGGGAGTGGGGGTGGTGAGAAGAAAGCAGGGGGAAGGGAGCTCAATGTCTCTGCAGCTCTGGATTTGGTATTTACAGCATGCTTTACTCTTTCTTGTTCAGCCTGCTTGGAAAGCTGAGAATTTATGAAAGATGGCATCTTGGTTAGCGTCTCCAGAAGCAGAGCTGAGACAGATTCTTGGGCAAGAGTTTTGAGAGATGCTCCAGGAGACAAGGAGTGAAAGGATAGGGCAGGGAAAACAGCTCAGCAAAGAGGAGGTGTCCAGTGGAGACTAGCTGCGGCTTAACCCTGCAGTGGCAGCACTCTAGAGGTCCGGCTGCACCACAAGGGTCCCTCCGGGAGGCAAGGTTTCCATCAGTCAGTCATTGGCTGAAGGCTTTCAGGAAATGGTGGCTGGGGGTCTTAACCTCACAGATCTACAGCGCCATTGAAACCCAGGTCAACGCTTTGGAGAAGGTGACAGTCGAGGTGTTTTGCATTACCTGATAAAAGGGCATATAAGTGACTACACATAGCAGCCACCATAGCAGCAACCACAGCTGGTCATATCTGCTTGAGATTGCTGCCTCTTTAACAGTGATCTTAAGCTATCCTGTGTTTTTCATGAGGTGAGTTAGTGGGATGACAACGCAGGAATGAGGACAACAGGAAGAAGAGATGATGATGAGTTGTACAGTTTACACTTGGGGGAGTAGCAAAATGTGGGTGTGAATGAGCATGTTACATGCAAAGGGGGAAGCAGAAGAGAAGGAATACAGAGCACCTTACTGCTGCACTTGAAGATAGTGGCAGGTGGGGAGCCTGGGCAGGTGTGGGCAAGGTGAGGAGCATTAAGACTTTCAGTTACTCCTGTACAAACAGCTGAAAAAGGTTGCTCATTTGTATGCACCTGCTCATGGATTTTGTGGGCAATGAAGTCCTGACTTCTACACTTTCAGAGCACAGTCTCTCTTAGCCGTAATCAGTCTTTGAAATGACTCCCCCATCCACTTTCTGCATAAAGTGAAAAGGGCACATGAAAAGGATTTAGCCTTGGCAATGTATAATGTTATTCTAATCTGTTCAGAGGATTAGCAAGTAAAGTAAATCTCTTCAGACATAAATGTCTAAATTCCTTAGGATTCTTTTATGCACTAAAATTAGTAAATCCAATTACAGTTTGTGTATGTGTGCATGTGTGTTTGTGTGTGTTTGTGTGTGTGAGAGATAGTCCTTGTATAATTTAAGTTGTATAATTTAAGAGAGAGAAATAGTCCTTGTATAAAATAAGCAATTATATAGTATTTTACCTGTAACATATGAAACCCAGAATAAAAGCAATATTCCCAGAGGAAAGCCAGCTTGCTTTATTGAATAAGGCAATCCTGAAAAACATAAAATACCCCACCCATCACATTAAAAAAACACATAGAAATACAGAAGTTTTTCCCAATTCCTGTATAGAATAGGCTAAGTAAATTGGCATATGACATATGACATAGTCTTAAACAGTACATAGGACTACTAAAATTAAATGTTAGTATATTAATACTTATTTCAGAATATGTTAAAGACATGTCAAGAGAGCAAGTTTATGAGGTGATGAAATAAGAAAAAGCAGCAAATTAAAAATAGATGCCAATGTACACAAGTAATGTTCACTTCAGGGTGAGGAGGACATATGACCTGGACTATGTGGAGAGTAATGACTCAAAGCTTTCCTTATGCGCTATCGGGGAAAGCAGAGAGGGATAATAAGTGCACAGAGGGTAATAGGATATAAGGATTCAAAATTGGCAACCATGTAGCAAAAGGAGAGAAAAACAAAAAGGCAAAAGTAATTTTTATAAAGCTAAAAGAGGTATATAAAATATTTTCTTATGGTTTTTTTGGGAAAATGGATGATTTTAGATTATGGACGACAAAATTTTTCAAATAAAATATATTTTAAATATTTCCACCCAGAACTTTTATTCTCTGAAAATTTTTCCCTTAAAAAAATCTGCTGAGCATAATGAAGAGGCACTTTTTAGTATTGCTTACATAGATCAGCTTAGATTTCACATCAGGAATTAACTCTGGAATTCTGCCAAGTAGAGCTGCCCACACCTCTGTGGTACTTAAGGTAGAATTTCAAACCAGTCTTTGTTCCCACTTGTTACTACTTTGCTCCAGGTACCTCCAGGTGATGTACCATTAAAAAAAAATTATATATGGAAACAAGTAAAAATCAAGAAACACATCAACTTATGAGAGGTAAGAAAAGTAACTCAATCCAGATAAATGTTTAATGATGACTGTTAGTAAAATGTCAAAACTTTATAGAAAAAAGTAATATACTCAATGAGTATTGCAGGATTCTGTTTTGTTCCTGCTTTTTCTTAAATTGAATGTTTTCAAATAACAAAAACGATAGTAGGCACAGAAACAATAATGAACTTTATTACTATCATGCAATGCACTTAATTTTGTTAGACTCCCTTGCTTCAAATTCCGAAAATATGAGCTGCTCATTTCTTTCAATTGTGATTATTTGGCTTCTTTGTTAAAAAATAATCATGTGCACTTTCATTTAACCAATTTCTTGTATTGAATATTTAAATTTAATATAAATTCATAAGTTTGTACTTTAAAATCTAACACTATATAAAATGGTAAGGAAATATCGTATGAATTTAATTTTTCACATTAAACTTTTGCACCTCCAATATTTCCAAATATCTGGAGGTTTGACGCCTCTAGGTCATAGAAAGGTAATTCAAGCAATGCTGGACACTTCAGAAACAGGGAAAAAGTAAATTAGGTAACATTATCAATTGGCCATGCAGCCTATGAAAATATTTTTTCAACACTTCCCATGTGCAGCTCTACCTTAATGTAACACATGTGGAAGATGCTCTCAAATGTGGAAAAAGTGTGTATCACAACCCCATCTTCAGCATAAAGGAGACTGATGTGATGAACGTTCTTACATTGGGGAAAAAAAGGCAGGCTTTTATGTAAGAAAATAACCAATTTTATCATTTAAGATTGTTTCCTTTAAAAACAGTGAACACTAAGAACATAATAAATCTTAAATTTGGCTTTTTCACTTAAAATTAAAACAAAACAACACTTACCTATTATACCAGATCCTATAATGGAGTTGACAACATTAAAAACAGCAGCAGACTGACGACAAGTTTTCCCTTTGTTCGTAGGTTCAGAAACGAGGCTTTCTTTGTCATCTAGGTGGCTCTATTTAAATATATAAAATGGCCAATAATATATAAAATTAAACAAGTATTTACTAGCTCAAAAAAAATAGAAGAGTGTCAGATAAACATGCAACGTAGCCGATTAATACAATATTAGTAGTGATAATAATTAACGTCAATAACTATAAGAAAATGATGATGGAGATAACAATAAAGAGCAATAATAATAGCTAGTAGTTCAACAGAACTTTGTAAACAAACTCCATCCAAAAATGTCCTGATTACACATGCACCAAGTTCACGGACTGCTGCATAGGCTACCAGAGTACAGGATCTGTAGGGAGCCAATGATGTGATTAAGTGAAATGAAAAGGGTTATATTGAAAAGTGCCTGCCAAGAAAAAAATAAAAGTCAAATCATGGCAGAACTTTTTCTCCCAGAGAACTTCCCAAGTGCTAAACCAAAACCTCAGGTGAAGGTAGCCGACCACAGTTGCAGGGTGAATGGAACTTCAGGGAACTTGACTTCAAAACCTGCCCCAGTCTCCAGTTTTACCTGTGGTGCGATGACGCCCCTGGTCTGTTGCCCCTGGTAGCCCATGGCTGCATCGGAGTCCTCGGCAGGTGGGGAGATTTGCAGGTCTGGGTATTTCACTCTAGACGGACCTGCTTCCTCTGCGACCTCACACGTCGGGGGCCCGCGCACGGCGGGAAAGCTGGAGCGAGTCGGTCTGCAGGCGCCGCGGGCCCCACCCCTGCACCTCCACCCGCAGCGCCGGCTGCAGCCTGGAGCTCACTTGGCTGTAACCTCAGCGGGTACCCCCGCCCCGGGACTCGCCCAGCCAAATGCACCTTTCGCCTCATGCAGAGATGCTACCGGATGTTTCGGATCCCGGCAGCCCGCTCTCTCCGCACTTCACCTTTTTTATCCCCCCACCCCACACCACCTCCAACTGTAAAATACAGTCTGCTCCACCCACGCCCTGATTATGCAGCGTTACAGTGGCCTCATTTTAGCCCATTCCCAAGTTAAGTGCTCTTTGGCTGGAGTCCGATGCCCAGGTAAGAACGCAGTGGCACCGCTGCTCGTATGGAGCATCTTTTTTTATTACCACCTCCTCCTCCCTGCACATCTTCTACGTCAGACAGATGAAAATGTAGGACTTTTATTTTTAATGGAAACTAACTTTTCTAGAATTTTAGTAAACTTGATTACTGAGCATAATGTGTAAAAAAAAAAAAAAAAATGTTTCCTGATGACTTTTCTGAAAAGTAGACTTTAAGAGGGGAAAGGAAGATGAATTGATAACAGATTCAATTAGTGAACCTTAAAGGAGGTGGTGTGTTGAGGTGTAAGGGGATGGGATCTGGAAGGCACCTAGAGTATCCGAGCTAGAATCTTAAATGACCATCTATTCACCCTTCTTATATTACAGATGAGGAAACAGGCCCAGAAAATAGTCAATCACAGAGAAACAGAATACATAGAGAACAGTTTCAGGGACAGTAAGAGTGGTAATATAGGTACTTAATAAATACTTAAAGAGTTCTTTTTCATAGACATTTATTTAAAATTATGAATCATTTCAAAAACATGGAAAAACCAAAGAGAATTCTCAAATAAACTCTATATGCAATCCATCAAATTAACAGATGTTAACATTTAATCATATCTTCAAATTGCAAAAATAAACATTTAATGTCACAATAGAAATCCCTTTGCCCATCT